CGACGTGATGTCCGTGGCCTCGGGCTCCGACACCAGCAGCAACTTCCTCCGCAGCCCCCGTTACGTCTACCGCAAGGGTCTCTTCTGAGGGACGACAAACATGCTCCACATGAGCTGGTGGACTCGACCGTTGATCGCTAATAAAGTCTCGCATCCTGTTGTCTGCTTACCCTGCCATCCTCCTCCTCCCCCCTCCTCATCGCCCGAAATAAACTGAAAGGTGTCAGCCTACAAGCAAGAGAAGAAGACATGAACCTGGCAGCGGAGCAACCGATCGTTCTGCACGGCAGTTAGTAAGGGAGAAAGTAGAGGAGAGGGGAGGAAGTTCTGGTGAAGAAGAGATCTCACCCAGCTTAGCTTCTCCCACGCTTCCAATGGGCCAGACAAGGTTCCGGACTCGTAGAGCTGTGAGACTTGCTATCACAGCAGGGTCAGGCTGAGCAGGGAGGGGAGGGGAGGGGAGATGAAAGGGATGAGTGGACAACCGATGCCAACTTGCGGATGAGAGGATGAGATCTCAAGACCAGCTGCTGGGCTTGAACTTCATCGTATCCCTTCCTCTGCCTCCTCCGCTCCTCCTCCCGCGCTCTTCGCTCGACGTAACCAGGATGAATTGATCGCGCAGCTCGGGCTAACGCATCCTTCGCCAATCCTGGGGGAAGTAAGGGTGAGTGAGGAGGAGAAAGAGGAGCTTTTCAGGTACCGCAGAGCTCCTTATCCTCCTCCTGCGCTACTCGCAAGAGACACGCTCGAGCTCGGTCGTCCCTCCTGTCAGCCATGCTCCCGAGCGCCTGAGGCCATGATTTCACCTCCTCTTTCAAGACTACGAGACTACCATGAGGCAGCGCGTACGAACGTCACAGGGGCATGAAGGAGAAGCTTTGACAAGGTCAAAAGGAGCGACTCAAATCGAGCAAGTTACCAACGAGTCCGCACAGCAAGTCAACGAACTTGGTGTCCCCCGGCTTGCCAGCCCTCGCGATCAGTTCGCACCCAGTGATCTTGTTCATGGCAGACTCATCTCCGACCAGCCTCTCCGACATGCTCATCACCTGGCACAACGTTCATTCACATCGCAATCCTCGTCGCTCAGGATCGATCTACCAACGAGATAGGCAGCAAGAAGCTCGAAACCAGGTCCACGAGAGCCAGTCGCATACTCCACGATTCTTCTTTGAACATCAGCTGCTCTACCTGCACGCAAACTTGTTGCTGAAGTTTGACGGGTGTACATGCTCTCAAAGTCTCCACCGCCTTCATCCTCAACGCCAAGTTTTGCATCTCAGGGTGCTGGAGCTTATGTAGTGTCATGCAGCACTTCTACTGGAGGCAAGCTCGCTCACCAGTTGCAGTACACAAGTCGCGAAGCCATGTCTCGGTCCTCGTCTGACCATCTCGTCCATGTCCATAATCAATCTGCTGACATGTCAACATGAGAGTGCAAGCTCATTTCTATTACTGCCGGCCGTCTCCTTCCTTCAAGTGGCTCAGCAAGGTCTCGCATACGTCGTCGTCGCTGACGTACTTGGCCTCTCCTTTCACGTCCAAGAGTTCAACTTGAATGTCGTCGATGAGGAGGCCTCGCTTCACCAGCGACTTGTTCATCTCCTCCTTCCCTAGCTGCAACACTAGCTCTGCCAGCCCGGCGGCTTCTCCCCGTATCATGAAGCGCATCTTGGAGGAGGGAGGGATGAGGGAGACTTCCTCGCACCAGGACAGGGACACATCAACAGGTCTTGATGCTCGCAAGCTCATCATCCCCTTCAGCTCCTCTCTCATCCTCGCTGCCGCCGCCGCTCGCCCTGCCACCACCATAGTCACCCCCGCCATTGACCGACCGTTGACAGTCTTTTACACAAGATGGTTTTTTTTCGTCGTAAGGCTTTTCTTGGAAGCCGTTGGTTTTGTGCATGGCGTGTCGTCGGGAGTCGGTGAGAGGAAGAGGGAGGGAGGGAGGGAGGGAGGGAGGGAGGGAGGGAGGGAGGGAGGGAGGGAGGGAGGGAGAGGAGGTGAGCAGGCTAAAGAGCTGATATTTGTCGGCAGGGTGTGGTAGTTTCATTTCATCGTCGTTTTGATTTTGCAGATCTTTCAGCTCCAAGAAAAGATGCAGAGCGAAGACAAAGAGGTGGAAAGAGGATCCTGGCAGGAGCCGTGGGAGCGTTGAACAAGTCGAATGTCAATCTCCCCGCCAACTCCTTCCTTGAAGGCGAGACCTTCTCTCCTCTCCTTCTGCCTTCTGCTCATCCCCGCCTCCAGCTAAAAGACCGCAAACTTCCTCGTCCAACGTCAAGCAAGAGCTCCGAGAGGTCTCGCTGTGAGGGCGTTGTTGTGAGAGCTGAGGCATCGACAGGCAGCCAAGAAGGGCGACGCTCAAGCTCTTCACCGGCTCCTTCATGCTGGGGCAGATGTGAACATGCGGCTTGACTCGTATGACTTGAGGCCTCTCCACTATGCTGCCTGGCACGGCAAGACAGACGCAGTGGAGCTCCTCCTCTCCTACAAGGCAGACATCAACGCGCGAAACAAGGACCTGAAAACCGCTCTGCACCTGAGCGCAAGTCGAGGACACTTGAAGACAGCTCGCCTGCTTGCCAGGCGAGGCGCGTTCCTGACGGTGAGAGACAAGGAGGGAAACACTCCTCTCGAAGTCGCAGAGATGTGGGGGAAAGCACAAGTCGCGATGCTGCTGGAGGAGCTTGTCGAGACTGCAAGGGATGGGCAGGCACAGCGACGATGGACGGAAGATGTGCTGCGAGAGCTTGGAGCGAAGAGCTCGACCGACTCGAGGAGCAGCAGCGAGAGGAGAAGCTCATGAGACGAGGAGCAGCAAGCAGAGGAAGAGCGATGCATTCGAGGGGAAGGACGTAGAAGAGGCGGGTAGGGAAGGAAAATCTCGCGGGCAGGTAGGGAGTATGCTATGTTATCAAGACTCGACAAGAAAAGTCAAGAAGGCCTGTCCCTGCCACTGTATGCCCGTAATCTGTCAGATCGTGCTTGCACACTCCGTCCCACACGCTTCCCCACACCTGCCTGACGTCAGTCTGGCGTTGGAAAGGAAGAGGAGCATTGAGGTGGTAGGACATGGAAAGCCTATGAGGGAAGAGAACGGGCGATGCGAGCGAGGAGGAGGGGAAGCGAGAGCTTACTCTGTCCATGTTCTCGTTTAGGTAGATGTCATCCAATACCACCAGCCCCTCGTAGCCGTTGCCGACGAGAAACTGAAGGACCTCGTCAGCCACATCCCCTCTCAACTTTCTCCTGCCTGGAGGATCGCGTCCTCGATGTCCCCGTGGTGGTTAATGTCTATGTGGATCAACGAAGCCTCTAGCAGCTCCCGCATTCGCTCCTCGGACCCCAACACGTTCTCAAAACGCCACTCGATGCTGACAAGAGTTTTCAGGCTCTGCTCGAGCTCTGGTAAGGGCGGGGAGCACCTGAGATTCTCCTCCTCCAGGGCAGCTAGGAAAGCATCAGGTCTCATGCCGCAGGCTCGCATGTTGGGCGTGAGGTCGTCGACGATGTTGTACGTCACAACTCTGCCTGTCGTTTCAGCTCAAGGAGCAACCCACCTGACCCCACCTGTTCTTGCGGCTTCCAGCAGCCAGAGCGATGGCTGAACCCCCATGCATGGTCCCGAGCTCGACGATGAGAGCGTCTGCACCGGCGACGTCATGGGGAAGGCGAGGAGCGACTTGCAGGACCTTGGAGGAGCGAGGCCATGTAGCTGAGGAGCCTGTAGTGTCCTCCAGGATTGCCTGAAAGCAGCGACTTTAAGCTAGAGCCTTGCTCACATCTCTCCTGCCTACTGCAGACCCGAAGGTCAGCATGCCCGCAGGCCCGGTGAACTGGAGAGGAAGAATTCATCTGAGTGCAGAGGAGAGAGGAGGGAGTGACCTCCAGTGCTGTCCACTCACAGACGAGATGCGACAAGTGCGTCAACTCCACGCTTCTAACGGCTGCCTTGCCATGGCAACCAATCAGAATGACAGGACCAGTGGAGATGGGGAGAAGGGAAGATGATGTGCAGGAAGCAGTCAGGTGAGGAAAGCTCATCGCACCTTCAGCATCAACAATCAGTTCGCAACCTTTTTGACAATGTCTTGTCCTTGTCTTTGGCGTCAAGACCTCGTATCCTACTTCTCGTCAATCTCTCCCTCCACGTGCTGTTTCCTCACCCGGTTGCAGCCTATGGATCAGCTGTAAAGTTCTGATAGCTTCCTCGGCAGCGCCTGTTTGCATGCAAGCCTTGGCGTGTTCCAGGTAAGGATAAACATGCCTGACCTGCTTTACCGTCACTTCTCGTCGCTTCTCTCACCTTTCTATCCCACATGTGCTGCGTCCCCACTGAGCCCTTGCCTTGCGCTCATCATCACTGCTGTAAACAATGCTTCGCTCGCCTCCTCTGTTCTTCCCGTCATCTTCTCGTTCTCAGTGATGTTCAAGTAGCGAGTTGCATGCAGTCACCCGAAGCTCGTGGCCGAGCTGCACCAGGGCGTCGCATGGTGACGTCATGCTTCGTATTCCCAGCGAGGCAGCTCGGGAGCTGTTGGCGCAGACATCTCGAGCTGCTTCAAAGAGCTCCAAGGAAGGGTCGCGAACGAGAAACATGGCATGAGCCATAGCCCTTGAAAGTCTCAGCAGCAGCAGAGGAGGAGGTCGAGAGAACCTCTCGCTTCCGTCGGACCCTGACAAGACTGCGTTGATTCCTCGAACCCCAGGAAGCACGTGAATCTGCACGTGAAAGGAGTAGAAAGCTGACGAGGAGGAACCTTTCCTACGACCGAGTCACTCAAAGTCGGACGCTGAAGACTCTCACTTCTCATCGACATGTAGCGACGAACCATGCAGGGTTGAAACGTGCTCGGAGTCAACATACAGCCTGACGTTAAGTGCCGGGGAACACGAGGCGCAGGAGGCGGAGAGGTTTGAAAGAGGAGGGATTTGAAGATCAACAATGACATCAGCCAGCCCGGGAGGTATCAAGACATGCGACTGCGGCTGACGGATCGAGACTCTCACGCCATCCACGTCGATGCCCGACCGAGCGAAGGACCTCCTCGTTAGATCTGAAGTAGCGAATCACAAGCCCATCGACCCTCCTTCACCCATCCATCCTCTATCGTCTCGTCTCCTCACCTCTCCCTCCTACGCTCATCAGGCTTGCCGCCATAGCCGCCATCGCCATTGCCGCCTTCATCACGCCATTCCGAATCCAATCGCATCCAACCCGCCTCAAAGCATCTGGAGGGCAGAGACAGAAGTGACTGTGAGCTTCTTGCCTATCGACACGCGCTGCCCCAAGTCGAACCTTGCTAAAAGAAGGGTCCGGGCCGGGCCGCCGGGGAGTGAAAGTCACTGAGATTTGTGTCCCTAGCTAGTGATCTCTTTTAGAGGGCCGTGTACCGGTAGTATTTGAGGATAATAGAGGGGTGTTTGTTTATGTGCACTGATGCTTTGACAGATGGAGATAGGTGGGGTGGATTACACCGGTGCTTGCCAGCGTGAAATAGGGGGTGAGGGTACCTAAAAGCCTGCTTGGTAGGATTTGTCGAAAGAGTCGGAGAGGAAGGGAGGGTAGGGGTAGTTCCGGTAAAAGACAGGGGTAGCGTCAACTTGCGTAAACTTGCGTATGTTGCCCCCGACAATCCTCCGTGAAAGGGGGTGGGTGGGGGGAAAGAGGGGGTGGGGGTACACAGAATTTCGATATCCGATGAGAAATGCTGGGTACAATCTGGACGGCTATGTGGTGGGGGTAGTCAGAATCTCGATATTAGGGGGTGGGGGTGAAAAAGGTCAGAGGTGCTCAGATATGCAGGGACAGAAAGGGTTGGGAAGGGCTTGGACGATGGAGAGGAGAGGAAGGGAGCGAGAGGCAGCGGGGGAGAATAGAGGGAAAAGATGATATATGACAGTAGATGATAGCTGAGATCAGTAGGCAAAGAAATAGCGGGCAGAGCGACGGGAGAAAGGAGGGTCAAACCATTCGAGATCCAACAGAGAAGGGCAAGAATAGTAAAGACTAACATTTTATGAAGAAAACAAACTGAGGGGACATGGAAGAGACGACAAGGAAAGTCAAGAACGTGTACAGCGAAGATTCAAGGTAGCATAGAGCAGAAGACCAGCGAAGTATTGGATAGAGCTTATGCACCTCACCGCATCTGATCTCTACTCGCACAACTTCGTACACCTTACCTCCCTTCAGTCGCAAACAAGACAGGATAAGGGGAAGGATGAAGGGATGAAGGGATGAAGGTTCAGAATCGCGTTTAGCAAGTCCAGCCTAGTAGGAAACTGCTCAAGATACCAAAAAAATACTTGAATTTAGGGAGCGGTCATGGGACATGTCAAGCCAAGTCTTCTCGTATGATGAGTAGATGTAAGTCTCTCAGAGACTGCAGTAGATGGCACAAGATTGCATGATTCATGGCTGATTGAATGCTTTGATCCTTCAGGACGGTCTCAATGTCCACCGATACTCCTCCTCGTGCCAAAAGAAAGAGTGCCCAGGCGGCCCAAGATGCTCAGTTAGCGCGAGCTTTGCAAGAGGAGTGGATGAGAGGAGGAAAACGCAAACTTGAAAAATCGTTTCTGGCGGAAGCATTGTCAACAGGGGGTGTCAATGACCACCGCCTTCTGGAAGATGCGGTCAGCGAAGATCAGGTGCTAAAACATTTCATACGAAGAGATCCCAAGGGCTTTCTCGTAGCGGATGCTAGAAGGGGATGCTGCGTCTGTGAGGAGTGTGCTCAGGTACTCGAGTGTCAGAGGCAGCAGAGATCTTGTTGATCGTCTGTAGCGTCTGGCAGATGAGATCGTTACCGGCAGCGGACTAGTCGTTGTTCGAGGGGCCATCAGCATGGATGTTGTGCCTTTGTACTTCCTGCCTCTTCTCTCCCAGTCACACCTTTCACGCAGATCGCCTTGCAAGCTCGGATGGAAATCGACAAGATGAAGCAGCAAGAGGAAATAAGTGGAAAATTTGTTCCAGCTGAGTTGGGGCCTACGCATCGTCGAATCTGGGCTCTTCTGAATCGAGGAGCTCCTTTCACATCTCTTGTAGCCTCGTTGTGAAGTCTGTGATGGTCAACTGATGCTGTAGCACAAGGTCACCCACTCGTTGCTCTTCAAGGTCCTCTCGCGCATTCTTGGTGAAGATTTCGCCTTGGGCTCTTTCAGGTGAAGCTCTTGCTTCTTCTAGGCTCCTCGTTGACATGTCATCCAGCGCAAATGAGATCGGCCCCGGGTGTCCGCAAGGGCCAGCGCATGTCGATTATCCTTATTCGATGCTCTCGTCTTTTCCCAACGACACCATGGCGTGTCAGGTGGGAGAAGGGAGAGGAATTCGTACTGGGTATCTGAGACGATGACGCAGACTATCTTCTGCTTGGATGAATGGACAGAAGAGAACGGCGCTACTAGAGTGCGACTATCAAACGTCAAACTGCTCTTGGCTGACTAGAGCGCTTGCTCAGGTAGCGCTACATAGTCATAAGCAGAAGCAGCATCCGGACAGAGACGATTTTCTTTCGACAGTCATAGAGGGAGAGATGGGCGACCTCGTGATCTATCACAGGCAACAGCAGCTCTTGCTCGAGCCTCGCTGACTGCGTTGCCACAGTCTGCTTCACCATCGCTCGGGTCAAAACGTCACAGAGATGAGCCGCGTTGGACTGTTGGGTCAATTCTTGGCGAAGTACGTCCGGCCTATGGAAGATCAGGTGGAGGAGGCGAGGAGTCAGTTGAGGGTGTGACGAATGAGCAGGTGCGGGGAGTGAAGGAGTCGGTCAAGAAGACTGCGAGCAAACAGCTGCGACAGCTGCTGGCGATGGACTGTCCTTACCCCATCCTTGATCCTTCAGCTCGCATGGCCTCATACGACTAATGAAAGGGGAGAACCAAGACAGTAGAATTTAGACAGGGAAGTGAAGGAAATGACAAATAATAGCTTGATGTAAACTGAAGAGAAGAAATATGAACCATTTGAAACGATCTACAAATCTAAAGATCTTTCTAAATCAGAATCCTCTCCCTCCTCATAAAGAGAGAGGGGAAGGAGGGTGGGGGGCATAAATTGAAGCAAGAAAGGAGAAAAGAGGATGAGAAGATACAGACAAAGAGAAGAGAATCAAAAGGAGCCCGTCAATGTGAGAGTAAGTGGGGGATTAGGAGCGAATAAAGGAGTGAGAGGCATGGAGCTGACAAGAAGGACAGTCAGTGGGCCGAGGACGATGCCTTGGCAATGCGCAGGTCTAACATGAGGGCACGCAACGTCGCACGTTGCCTCTGGCTCAGGCGTCAGAGCTCATCAAGCTCTCCTGCTGTTCTCCGTCCTCCATGGATTTGTTGACCTTCTGCTTGGCCAACCAGTCGAGCGTCTGCGAAGTCTAAGGGGGAGGACGAGGATGTTTGCCTCGCACCTGAGACTTGGGGATTCTCTTCATCATGAGCTTGCTGGCGATGCGCACCATGGATTCTTCGACTGCTTCATGCGAGTACTTGATGAGCTCCTGCCCGACATGCAATAATGGCTCAGAAGCCACCGAAAGACAAGCAGGCGGCACCTCCTGCCTAGCCTCCGGCGAGTCTTCGACGGGTTCGACATACAAGAGCTCATCGCTGGAAGATAGAGGACTTTCGTCGATCCTCCTCAAGACCTGCTGACGCTCTTCCCGTGTTGTGGCCTATGAAACTCTTAAAGGCAGCAAGACTCCGCCTTCTTCGCTCACTCTCTTCCTCCCCACGCGCTTCCTCGCCTCCAAGATTCGCTTCAGGTTGCTCTCCAGCTCCTCGAGGCCCAGACGTCTGGCTGCCTCCATGGCGCTGCTATCGGCGACCTCAGCCGGCGACGCCCCCTTGACAACTGGCTGCTTGGAGAAGACTCTCGCTCCCAACCTGCGGGGAATGACGCGAGGTGAAGTGCAAAGAGGGAGAACCTTGCTAGCAGCGCAGCACAGGCCTCTTGTCTTGCAAGCACCGCGACATTCAGCGCTGACATCCCGCTGCCCTCACAAACGTGACAAGACGCGAGGCAAGACTAAGTCGAACCAAACATCGCGAACCTCCAAGTCGCAACCCGCCAGGTAGATTTCCCTAGGCCACGGTCAAGGGAGGACAGGAGAGTTTTCAAGTTCACTTGATGAACTCGATGCTGCCCGACAGCACAGCAAGGTGAAGAACTGTCATGCGACTTCTCCCCACATGCCGCACGTTCACTTCCGCTCCTGCCTGGACTGCTTGTCGAAACGCGTCAAGATCTGCCTGCAGGCTGGAAACTCAGGATTGCGGGAGAGGACAGGAGACAGACACCTTCTCTGCCGCCTTGAGCATCTTGTTATTGAGAGCATTCAAGGCCTCCAGCTCTGGTAGACTCATCTCCCTCTTCTTCGCCGGCTCCTTTGATCCCTCGGGCTGGCAAACAAGTTGAGCTTGTTGACGAGGCTCCAGGTGCTCACCAGCTGCATGCTGGCCCTCTCCGCTGCGTACAGGTCTCTGGCGATCAAACATCAGGAGGGGTACAGCTGGACTTCTCTCACTCTTCAGAAGACATCCAGAACTTGTCGTGCGCGCTGTGCAGTCTCTTGCTATGCTTCGATTTGGCATCGCGCGAGATTGCTGCTTGGCCAGCGTTGGCTTGCTTGCTGATTTCGCCTATTTCTGTCTTTGCAGATGTCAACTGGGAAGTGTCGCTATCGGAAGGGGGAGCTCTCCATTCCTTCGCGCTCGTTACGTCAAGTGTTGAGCTGAACTTCCTGTTACCCCGACCGGGCCCGGATCCTCCTCGTCCTCCTCGTCCTCCTCGTCCTCCTCGTCCTCCTCGTCCTCCTCGCAACCGGTCGGGAAAATGATGGCAAACGAAGGTTGAGGCCAGCAAGGAGACCAGGAGCGGGAACAGCTCTTGGATATGATTGCGTAGAAGGGAGGGAGGGAGCGGAGCGAAGGAGTTGGTGGCATGAGCACTTATTCTTGGGGGATGCAGAGAATGAAGGGGAATGAAAGCAGACGAGGACATGCCTAAGGAGGTGGGAGGGAGGAACGATGCAGTCATGGAGGGGAGGGGAGGAGGAAGTAGTCAGGAAGGAGAGAAGGAGGAAGGAGTCATCATGGAGCTTCAGGCCAAGGGTTCTGTCCACTGCCCTCGTCGCTTGTTGTGCATGGTCTGGCTAGAAACGACGACCAGGCGCATATGGCGAATAGTGCCGCGAATGATGGGAGGCCAGAGGTCATAGTGGGGATGTGGACTGGGATGAGGACCCAAGATGGCATCAGGTCTGGATTGCGATGGGTGGGGGGGTATAGTATCCGCCGCCAAACAGAAAGTTTGTGGCTTGTTCAATGTCGGAGAAGTGCGAAGTAAGGCCGAAGGAGAAGGCAAAAGATCTACGACAAGGTGATGATATGATAGATCATCGTCATAGATTTGTGTTGTCAACTTAATATTTAAGTGGTTATATCTTTGTCAACATTTTCTCTTCTCTTTCACAATTACAGTTATCCTACATTGCAAACTCTGCCTGCCTGCCAGTGCCGTGCGGCCTGACTCTCCTCTCTCTCCCTCTCTCTCGCCATTCTCTCCACCACCCGCCCGCCCTCCCTCCCTTCCTCTCCATCTGATCATGGTTACGACATGTGATGATTGCAGTCATTGTTGGATGACATCTACAGGGCTCATGATGGTAAGGCTCCAACAACATCAAGACAACAAACTATGTCGGCTGGCCCAACTGAAAACTTGGATCGTCAGTTGTTAGGGATGCTTTCAATTTAAAAGGGAGAGTGCCCGTAGTAGGAAGACTATGTGACGTTGATCTATTAACGAGGACTAGAGGCGGCTGAGGAACCATGCGGTGAAGGCCAAGAGAGAGAAGGAGGAGAAGAGGAGGAAGAAGATGAAGATCAAGGAAGCGAGCCTGGTCTCTGAGGTGTCCGCCTCTTGCAGCTTCTGCTCAAACCTCGTCAGGTCACATAAGGCGAGTAAAGCTCACCTCGTCCTCCATCCCCTCGTTCAACGTCTGCTCTCCCTCTTCCTCTTCCTCAGGGCTGCCACGATCAGGTCAGCAGGTTCATGTTGGCTAGGAGTTGTGAGTGCCTGCAGCTGCTTGATGAGGAGTCTCCTTCCTTCCCGCTGAGAGCGCACAGTTGCCTGAACCCGCAGATGTGTTCCAACACGCCTTTTCCCTTGCCGCTGTCTCCTTTGCTCCCCTCCGACTGCAGCAAGTCGTTGAGCAGCTTCCTGGGCGTGTCTTGTCGATCGCTGATGATCCGGATCAGACTGTCCAGCGGGCACAACCAGCCCTCTTCCTCCGAGCAGGCCGCGAGCTTGACCGGTCGCTCGTTCACCATCACCAAGACCCTTCGGAGGGATGTTAGAGAGATTGGGAAGGACGCGTGATCTATGTGGGGTTGAGCCGAGAGGAGGACAGAGAGAGGAACATAGAGCACAGAAGAATCGAAGAAGGGAAGATGAAGGCCGAGGATGCAAAGGGAGGAGAGACCAGGGAGGAGCGAAGACGGAGGAGGGTGGAGACTTCAGGGAGGGCGAGCAGGGGCAACGAGACTGTGAAGGGATCAAGTGGGACCTGAGGTCTTGGGGGCTCGAAGAATCTTGTCGGCAGCTGTGCAGAACGAAGACAATGTTGGCAGCCATGGGGATGATCCTCCCGCTCCGAAACTTCCTGGTCCTCCTCTAACAAGATCGCTTCAGGGAGGGAGCAGAGGAGGGCTGTATGGAGCTGCTCACGAGGTGGAGGGGCGTCGACGCGTTGAGCTGGAAGGGATCTTGGAAGAGGCCGAGGAGCGTCACGAGGGGCAGCATGGTCTCTCCTGCCTTGAGTCAGCTCGTTGCTATGCTGGAAGACGTTTGAACCGTGAGCAAAGAGAAGCTCTGCTGTCTTGTGAGGAGGCCTCGACTTCATGACGTGTACCAGATGAAGCAAGAGAGGGCATGCCATCCCAGCATTCATCGCAAGCCTTTCACCATCATCATCATCATCATCATCATCATCATCATCATCATCATCATCATCATTTCCATCATCATTTCCATCATCATCATCATCATCATCATCATCAAGCTTTACCCATAGGATTTCTTGTAGAAATGTTTCAAATCTGCGACAAGGTCAAGGCATAAGAACAGCTCCGTCACATTCCTCACCATCCCAGTACTCCATCGTCGACATGTCATCCTCTGCCATCAATCAGTCAAGAGATCTTCTGGAGAGGTCCAAACAGACCGTCAAGCAGGGAGCAGAAGCGCGAAGACTCTTTCATCTGCCCAGCTTCGAATGCGCACTGGAGAATGCAGGTGAGTAGGAGGATGAAACGAGGAGGGAGCACCAGGGTGAACATGGCGGCGACGTGCTTAGCCTTCAGCTCTTTGCTTGTCTCCTTCAGACCCAACTTGCTTCCAACTCTGACAGGAACAGGATCACAAGGCAGTTGAGATCCTCATTCCCCGGACCTGGCGACGACATCTTGCACCTCCTTGCTCTCCAGGAACTGCTCCTGTACCTGCGTGGCCTTGCGCTTCTCCTGTAGCAGCGACAATGGTCACCGTCGCTCAGCTTCAGTCGCTCCCTCCTTTCCTTCTTGTAACGAGGACACGAGTCGAAGAATCGCAGCGTTGTATCCCGACTGGCATGCCGACGTCAGCACGCGAACTAATCACCCTCTGCACCAGTGACCTCTCACAGGACGGAGTGATGACGTGGACGGGGTTGTATCTCCCTGCTGCATCGTCTCAGCAGGCCACACAGGACCTTCAGCTCACCTGACACGCCTGGCCCACTGACATCGAAAGCTCCTCCTGCAAACGCATGCGCACTCCTACAGTCTCGTGTCACCTTCCCCTCCCTCCTCGCCTGCTCTCACCTTGCTGATCGCTCATGACAGGAGGAGCGAAAAACATGATGTCGCGGATGGTAGCTATCGGACAGCAGATGAGGAAAACGAGCTTGCCATCTTCTTCCCAGCTCTACCAATGTGCGACATGTCACTTTGCGCCTCAGGACCTGCTGACGCACCCAAATGCTCCTCCACTCCTAACGAGACCAGCATGCTCGCATCCTCCTCCTTGAAGGGATTCTTCCAGCTACAGCATCGTCCCGTCACATCACACGACGCATGCTCCCGACAGCAGGAGCAGAGGGTTGGAGAAGCAGCTCACGTTTGCGCCCATCGGAGCTTGTCATTCGTAGTGTTGATCTCTCTGCTCAGCCGTCGAAGAAGGTCCTGGAGCATGATGAGCGAGACGACAGCATGAAGCAGCGACAGCGTCACCTCAAGCTGCTCGAACTTCTTGATGTCCTTAGCACTTGGGTTCCTCGATCCATGACGAAAAACTCCTGCAGAAAATGGTGAAACGCGTTCTTCGCAGAGATCATCGTCGGAGTGCATGTCGATAATCCTGTTATCACCTGTAATCATCGTCGGAGTGCATGTCGAAGGAACTTCTGGTCGCGTCCATCCTTCAGGAGCTCTGCTTTCACAGTCAACAGCGCGAGTTAGGGGGAGAGTCATCACATGTAAGGCCCTTTGCTCCCAAGATGTTCGCTGCTTGCAAGCTCAGGGTCATCACCAAATCGAAAACCTCAAGCACCTTAGCTTGTCTTGCAAAGAGTTGCAAACAGTGCAGAAGAAGAGAACGAGGATGATGAAGAAATCCGCTCTAGACCCCCTTGCCTTCATGGCAGAAATGCTGCTGATGAGAAACAAAATGCAAGGGGTTAGGAAAGGTTGACAATGGATTGAAACTGACATGTCTGATCGACTCGAGTGTTTGCAGGTGTCAAGTTTTTTGGCCCTTCATGATGGCTGGCTGGGAAAATCCGAATCGATTGAAGCAACTCATGTTAACCGTTCACTTCAAGTTCATCTTGTCTTCTTTTCATTTACTGGCAAATGAGCAGGTCAGAGTAAATCAATAGACTTGTATGTCTAGTACTGCATAAAAATTACAGGCAGAGTGCATTCAACTCAATCCTTTCTTATTGGAAATCATCTTTCTTTGGAAGTCTCTAGTATGCCTGCAAGTGTTCTGTTCTCCCATTATTGTCTTCCCATTCAGAGTGATCAAGAATTTCTCAACATCGCCGACCTTTTTCTATCTATCTATCTTTCTTTCTTTCTTTCTTAACGTTTCCCTGTTGAGTCTTTCATCTCATTCCTCTCACATATTCAAGCTCTCCTGCTCCTGCTTCACCATCCTCCCCCGTATGGCTTCTTCGATCTTGTATTTCCCTACTCCGATTGTCATGTTCTCTTCTTTTCAGAGATCGAGCTTCTTTGTTTCAGCGTAGGAACTCAAGGTTCTTCTCGGTTTTGGGTCCTGTGCATTCCTCCCCTTCCTCCTCGCGTCTTTCACCACTCTCCTCTTCTCGTCCCTCCTCTTCAGCATGACTCCTTCGCTTCGCCCCCAATTTCTCCCCTCCCGTCCTCATGTCCATTCCATGAACATGAAAGGGGGCCTGAGGGGTGGGGTAGTTTTACCTCTCTGCTTGAGAGGACCCTCCCTTGCAGGCATGTGTTCCCTGCTAGAGGGGGTAGGGTGATACCCAAGGGGTTCAGGGGGGTGTCACCACACATAAAAGGAGGAATCTCGAGATTTTCAAACTAAAAGTATGACGAGAGGGGTGGGTAGTGCTGATTCAAGGAATAGGAGGGGTTATTTGTCATACAAACTGGGGGGTGGGGTAGTGGTACGTGTGTGTCTTTCGTCGAACATCACCATGTGACAGGTCACGTGGTCAGAATCAGGAACAATGTAGGGAGTGATGATGGTGCAGGACAAGCCAACAGAAGTCTGCTGGCTGCGACTTCCTGTGTGCAGAGACATACGTGAACATCATAGCGATGGATCAAGAGTGAAGTTAGCAGGATGATACGATAAAAGCCTTCCATGGAAACATGCAAATGATGCCTGTATGGGAAAGGATGTTGCACAAGAACCATTGCAAGGGCTGAATCGACTTCATGTTACGTATCTCTGTTCACCTAGTGTTAACCTCCGTGCCGATGGTACAGCCAGTGTGCTTGCCAACGTTTCTCTCGTCATTGGTGGGTCACGAAGACGGGCATATACTTGATGCCATTCTGATCATGAGGGGGTCAGGTCTGTAGCTCAAACCACAACGAGAAGAACCTTGATGATAGGCTTTGGCAACGGAGAGCCTTTTTTCCATGTGTGGAGGTGAGCAGCATGAAGCTCGTAGCCTGGATATCGGGGGGGTTTCACAGTCCTGAGAATGTTTAGGGGGATCTCTAGAGCAACAATGATCATCACCTGGGTGCTTGCACAGGCACGATCGCCCTCTGCATTTGTTGCCTGTGTCTGCTCGAGAGGTTAAAGGCTGTTGGTGCATTATGGGATATATCTTACAGTTGATGGAGAAGCTTTGGCTTTGAAGAATACTTTCCCTTTTTCCTGGAGACACAGCATCAGCGAGAAAAAATTGTGCAGTTGAAATTGAAAGTCGCAAGTCCTACTTTGCAGGTGCTTCCTCTTCGACAGGCTCCTCGACCACTGCAGGCTTCTTCTTTGACATCTTTGGCTCAGCTGGTGGTTCTTTCGCTACGGTTAAACACAGTTTCACCATACTTTGAGTCCCCATTTACCTGGCACTTCACCAGGAGGGCCTGCTGGACCTTCAGGCCCCTCCTTGCCTGTTGTCGCAGCTCACATGGCAGTGAAGGAGGTTCCGCATGACAAGTACCTTCGGGCCCCGGCGGACCCTCCGCGCCTGCGGGTCCTTCGTCTCCTTTCGCCCCGGGAGGTCCGGGAGGTCCTACAATGACTGAGCTGACCGCAAGGAGGGAGGAACTGCTTACCCGGAGGACCGACTCCAGCTGGACCTGGAGGCCCTGCTGGCCCTGGCGGTCCGACCCTTGTCTCAAGGTTCAGGATAGCCTGATACCTGAAAAATGCACGCGCAGTCAGGAGTAAAAACAACCGTTTGCCAGCTTTGTACTTAGCAAGCAACATCTTGTTGTTTGCATCATCGATTGCAACCTTGAAAAAGCATCAGAGCCAGAAGGAGCAAATGATGGCTGCGGTCACCTGATTGTCCAAGTTTGCTATTTCCATAGTGTCGGTGGACAGTTCTTTTGCCATTCTCTCCAGGAGATCGCTCCAAGCACTGGAGAGACCTGGAACAGTCATCATCAGCACACCTGGACCTAGCATGGCCTTGGTTTTTGCCTCCTTTCTTCGTTGATGGATCCGCGACTTGTTCTCCAGGCAGCACGTACGGTTTGTAGTAGGTCTCAGCTCCCGGCATGAGACCTGTTCATAGAACCAATTCACACGCATCGCACTGCCGAGCTCAAGCAAAAGAATGCCGAGCAAAAGAGTGTCGAGCAAACATGGATACCGGATGTTTGCGCTGTGGGAAACGGGGGATACCTGTCAACAGGTCATGCATCTTTCCCAATAGAACTTCACGTACGCTGAAGCAGGAATGGAAGCCGGGTCGACACTCACACCCGGATACAGGGGAGGAGCACTGTTGATCAGCGTGATTCAGAAAAGCCCTGTCATTCTAATCGAGAGCCTCACGTTGCCATTGCGCCTCCCACAACGATGTTGGTGGTCGGCGATCCAGAGCTGGTGGTGGTAGTGGTATAACGGACAACCTGTCGGTGTGATGGTCACAATCTGCCTGCACATTGGGCGTCAGGCGTTACCGGCAGTTGCTGCAGTCTTGCTTGCTTCTGCGAGTAGCTTGAGGTCTCGCGGAGCATCGCGCGCTTGTTGCCGCCGGTGAACCATACTGTACACACCAGGGCAAATGCCTGGAGGGACGGGAAAATAACGTCATTCGATTTCCTCAGGAGGAGAAGAGGCGCACCGAAGCTACTGCCGACAGCCCGACCCATCTACGCGAGTCTCGTTTGTTTGATGATAGTGATCCTGGCCCGATGACCTGGTTGGAGGAGGTGCCATCTACAACACAACGTGAGGAAATATCGCGCCCTCCTTCCCTTCTGCCCTCCTTTCCACGTCCCCGTCCCCTCTCCAAGTACGCACACATACATACACATACACGCATATTACACATCACACATACATACATACACATATACACATACACACACGCATACACATACACGCATGCATACGAGCATGTCGATACACAAATACATAAACTGGCACATCTCTTTCCTCTTGCTCCCTCTTGTTCCTCGCTCTTTACGTACATGTTCCCCCGCGCCCCAGCGCCATGGCCTGCACCCTTATTCTCTCTGCCGGAGGACGACCACTAAAACATTTATTGATTTCAAGAATCATGTCCTTTGTTTATTCTAATTTGACCGGAAGAATCCAAATTATATTTTCAACTTATAGAAGTTTAGGACCCTGACGGGATCATCGCATTCACATTGATCGAAGAGTCAACATTCGCGAGGACCGCATCCCCACTTACTACTGAGTGTGCCGGGCCGATTCCGGGACTGGGCCCGCCGGGCGGGCCGGCCCCACTGACCGTACGGGGAGGACTACATATGATTCGATCAGACAGACAGGCCAACCCTTAGTGTGGGAATTTACAGGTATTCGGAGTCCTCAATTAAAGTTCACCGTGTAGGGGTCAACTTGTGAGTAGCCTTGAATCGTAGAGTCGGCTGATTCAAAGATCTTCCGTCCTTTCTCGATGATTTGCTGTAGATCTTCGGCCGGGCGTCGAGTCAGTCGCCCTCCGATCTCTCAGCTGAATGTCGGCAGCTGACGTTGCCTTGTTGGGGTCGCGCAAAGTTGCTCTTGAGGCGCCACGGGGCTCATACTTGTCGACGAGGATGTAGCCTGTGGTTAGACGTTGATTCACTTCCTCCACCATCCTGGAGCCTCCGGCAGCTGGCAGCGGCTTCTGCGAACGCGATGAGCTGTCCTGCTGGCCATTGAGATCCAAGGGGGTGGAGCCGAACTGCTGCTGGCACATCAGCTCCATCATGTGCGCCATGGATGCGATCTGCTCCTGCATCGTCTTCAAGATCTCCTCGTTGAGGTTCGACTCTGAGCGATTCCTTTCCAAGGACCCGAGCCTCGTGGAGACCTTCGCCATCCTGACTGCCATGGCTGAGACCTTAGCCTCTATCCGCTCGATCCCCGCTGAAAGCCTCAGGTCGCAGCCTTGGTTCTTGTTCTCCTCCAGGTCGTCGAGCGACGGCACAGCTGCCTTCCAGTGCGAGAAGGAGCGGATGAGAGTAGAGTAGAAGAGCTTGCGGACGATCTCCTGCTTCGACTTGCGAGCTGACTTGGAGGCGTTGAAGAGGGGGTTGTTGATCTTGTCGACGGAGAAGAGGAGGGACTTGAGCAGGAGCATGACGTTCTGATTGAACTCGTGCGTCTCGCTCTTGAGGGCCACTGAGACCTGCAGCTCGAACCCTCAGCCGTTGCGTCAGTTGAGTTCATGACAGCCTACCTTGCGGTGGACGTAGTTTGACATCTGCTTCAAGATGATTTGCTCGAACCCAGCTAGGCCGAGCTCACCATCGGAGTTGAGAAGTTTTCTAGAGTCTGTGAGGTAGAAGAACTCCTCCTCTGTGAGAGAAACCGGAGGATCAAGGCTCAGTTTCTGTCCATATCATGTCACGGGCTCGAGGCTCCTGGCCCTCCTCTCTGTCTCCTCGTTCACCTTTAAGCCCACGTTGAGCTCTGCAAGGTCGACAGACCCAGAGTCATCGAGGTCGATGGTCTGAAGGAGCAGAAGTGAGAGGAGGAGCATGCGGGTGCAGGAGGCATCTGCTGCAAGAGAAGTGGAGGATGTCAAAACTTTCACACCTGATAGAGCTGGGAGATCTTGGAAGACAACTCCTCCAGTGTGCCGAAGTCCATGAGACTTAAAACAAGCGGATCCAACGGGCCCTTGTCACGGAAGGTCCTTGAGACGTCGGCCTGAACATGAGTCACTCGATCTCGTCCTTTGGTCGCAAAGATAGACGACAACAGTTTTCTGCTCCTCCTGACTAGTCTTTTCCTGTCTCTCCCGCTCGACCGTTGAGATGAACTCGTCCAACAGGACAGCGACAACAATGTTCATCATAACCTGCCAACTCTCGATGAAGGCGAGGAGAGAGAAGCCACGAAAGAAGTTACCACATTGACAATGAGCATGTAGACAACGAAAAACAGCCCGATCTAGTAGGGCATAGAAAGCAGTCAAGACGTCTATTCCGCAATCGCCTTCAAGAAATCGACGCACCAGAAAGTTTTCGGTCGGTTTCCCATCAAATAGTGACCTTACAACCGCCGAGGCCCATGAATCTCCTGTTGCCATTTGAAAGAGGGTGAACATGGATTTGAAGAAGTCTCCGAAGAAGTCTTCCTCCTTCACAGCAAACAGTTTTGTTGCTATGATGGCGAAGATGGAAGTAACTATCAGGAGGATGGCGAAGGCGTTGAGGACTGGAACGACTAGTTTGCAATTACCGTCAACACCGTGAAAGTCGCTAGATCACTTTTCAGGAATACCGGAGGAGGACAAGGCATTGATGAGGACGCGGAAGGAGTACAGCATCCTGTATGCGCGAGAGTTTAGTCTAGCAGTTGGAGGGGAGCAGCACCTGAAGACTCGAATCATCTTGAAGATTCGGATGAGACGAAGAGCGTTCAGGCCGGGAATCCCTTGGACAATCTCTGACATGACGGAAACAGCAACCACGAAGAAATCTGAGAATGTAACAGATGAGAAGTGGAAGTACAAGAAAACACTTTAAGCTGGAACAACCTAAAAGGTTCCATCCATCTGACACAAAGTTCCAAAACCAGTTGCTCAAAAGGTTCCATATCAGCTCCTGTGCGACAAGGTTAGCAGGGTAATGATCAGGGAAAGGATGGAGTGTATCACCAAGCAGAAGACCAAGAGGAAACAAATCTCGAGGGTCCCGAGCACACCGGCACTGGCAGAGCTCGATTTCGTTTGTTGTTGGGCTGACATGATGGCGGTGACAAACGAGGCCATGATGACCGAGGAGAAGAAGATCTGAGAGAGGCTACTTTCGTAAAGCTTCTTCGATTTCCTCTGGAACCTGGTGAAGACTGTTTCTTCCTTTCTTGCCTTCTGCTTCACATACACCTTCGCTGCATGCTGGACCGCCGAGACCTGTCAACATTCTTCAGACCCGATGCCACTGGTTGTGACAAAACTGCTCTCTCACCCATATTTCCTTCTCCTGTGGAGTGCCTGCCAGTAAAACTGTTGGCTTTCCTGAATTCTGGCCTTCTGGGACTGTCTTTATCACGAAAATCTTTTCATCTGGCTCATCCTGGAAACTTTAGTGTTATAGCGTTCACCCTAGAGCCTCTTTGTCACTTACGTCAACCATCTTCAGCGAGACGATCCTGTTCCTGACTTTCGAGTCCGATCTCAACAGCTTGTCATCTCTCACAGCAACGCTCTCGATCTCGTCCAGGGGGATGAAGTCAATTATTTCGTCCTCTCCTAGTTTTCCGATCAGAATCTTGTCTGAGCACAGACAAACTCGTCGAGGATTCCAAGTAACCCCAAAGGAGCTGTGATGACACGGTCAACCTCTACTCTTCTTGAACCTGAGATCACCTGTAGGCTTGTCTGTGAAGTTCTGCAGACAAGATACAGTCTTCTTCAGGCGGGAGTTTGATCAACTCCAGCGAGTTTATTTCTCGCTCTCGCAATTTGCCCCTTCTCATGCTCATGAAGATGGCGGCCATTCTCTCTCTCCCTCTCCCTCTCCCTCTCCCTCTCCCTCTCCCTCTCTTCCAAGGCTCAGTTCAGATCGATGTTTCACACAATGAGACCGAGTACTGCTTGTTTTTGATGCAAGTCAGTGACTGTGGGACAACCTCTGCCTTGTCGGCTCCATTCTTCAAGGAGGTGGTCGCATCTTTTCATCTGACTGGAGTTCCATTCTCCTGACCGCCGCCGCCCGGTCAAACAGCCGAGTCATTTGGTTTCTTTACAACCAATTGTAAATCCAGATAGAAGGCTACCGAGAGTCGCGGTATCGTGATCTCCCCGCGATCTTGCTGATTTTACTACAGGATTATATACTTTTCATGCCCTTTAAAACACTTGTAGTGCAATTAGAGGTCACGTTACCTTCGAGGTTCCGACGATCACAGGGTGAGGCGGGCCGAGGTCAAGGCACAACTTAAGTAAATGTTTCACTTAAGTTTAGTCCCTCTTCCCCGCTCATGTCCCTTGTCAGTTTGCGATCATGTCAATCAGCTGGTCGGGCGAAAATAAGCGGCAAATGGAGGAAGAGGAGCAGGAGTCTCAACGATCTCCTTCCGTCTTCTCTTTATCTTCTTGCTCTTCTCAATCTCATCTCTTTATGACGCTGCTTTCACATTCACATAGTTCTCATCTAGCCCATGCATTCTCAACTTGCTTTCTCTCGAACTTTTTCACCGGCATGAAGATAATCAACATCATCTTGTTGCTCCTAGTCGTCCCTTGTCAGACATCGACATATTCCTGCATCTCTCAGACGTGCATGTTGCCTGTCGAAATGTACTGCTACATCGGCATGGATGCTTGTTGGTGTGATTATCATCAGACGGGAATACAGATGCCTTCTCAAACAACCTACTATCGATATCTTACGCCTTGTCGAACATGTTGGACGAGCTTTCGCGGGCCCCTTGGTCCTGACGATCCGCGAGGATGTATGATACCAGGAGGGCTGTCGGAGCCCTCCCTCACCACAGCTCGCTCAGCACTTCAAGTTCTCTTCACCGACACCAACGGAGCCAACTGGAAGAGATCCGATGGATGGACGACTAGCGCAGACCCTTGCAAGTATTTTGGCGTCACATGTCGAGGCGACTCGGTTGTCGCCCTCCGGCTGCCGGCAAACAACCTGCAGGGGAGAATTCCCAGCTCTCTCGCAACTCAACTCCCTCTCCTGGAACACCTTGACCTCTCCTCCAACCGCCTGCAAGGATCCCTGCCCTCTCAGATCGGCTCTTTCCCGCTGCTCGTCCAGCTCAAGCTCAGCAGGAATCGACTGAGTGGAGCTGTACCTGACTTCTCCCAAGCTCACTTCCTCGCCGAGGTATGACCACTTGTGGGGAGCAGGAGTTAACTTGCAGTCGCAGATCGATCTGAGTGAAAATCAGTTCGACGGCTCCTTGTACCTCAGTCGCCTCCCTCAACGAGTAGTTCAAGCTCAAACCATCATCGCATGCTCTTTCTTCAGTGTCGCCAGCAACGGATTAGAACTTTTGCAGACTGGAAACTTTCCCTCCGGCCTAGACCTCGCAAACTCATCCTTGATGCTCCTCGACCTCTCAAACAACTTTTTCTCCGGTACATGTCACGTTAGAGCCTCTGAGACCCGATGAAACTAGATTAGCTCTCCTTTCTCACTCACTGACCTCTCTGACCTCTGCCTCAGGATCGCTTCCCTCAGCGCTGTTTCAGTTCCCGACACTCAAGTACATCTCATCGCTTGTTTCCTTCTACCTCGCTGACCTTGCCTGGTGCTTGAAGATACCTCAACGTTAGAAACAATTTCTTCTATGGACCCTTGCCAGACCTGGCGGAAGCCAACAGGTTTACATGATCACCACAAGTCAAATCAACAATAACAGCTGATGTCTTGTTTCAGCCTAAGGAGGCTGGACTTGAGCAAGAATCTTTTCTATGGAGAGCTTCCCCTGTCTTTCTTGAACCTCTGGCCACCACAAGGATCCCTCGTGCGTCTCTCCTGCCACCTCTGATCCTCTCTCATCCTTCTGTGCAGGTTGCTGACGATCTCAGAGGCTCCTGGGGAGATGGAGGTCTTCTCTTGGACCTGTCCGGCACGTGCATAGGAGGCAACATCTCCGTCATGGATCGCAGTATGAATCAAAGTCTGCTGCAGGACAAGATCAGCAGGGTGAGGGCCGTGACCGATGGGATGTTCGAGTGCCAGCCCAATTCATCGCTGGCCAATCAGACGGCAGCATGCGGGGAGATGTGCTTGTCGTCGGGCAGCTGCAGGGTTGGACTGGTTTGCAAGGACATGTACACTTGGAGGGAGCTCCCGAGAGGGGGGGGGGAAGGGGGGCAGAGTGTGTCCTGTGGTCCCGCAGGCATGTGCGTCTGCAGCCTACCTCTGGGGGAGTTTGTTCGCCCTTCCTGTCCTGCTAACGCTTCCTCCATGGCCGTGCAGCAAGTTGCTGTCTCTGCCGAGCTCCTGCTCAACGTTTCTCGCAGGCAGTTTTGCGAGAGTGTCGCTCCTTTCAAGCCCCTCCCCGACAGCGACTGGTCCTGGTGGAGCGGACAGATCGACTTCTCGAGCTCCCTGGTCAGCCCTCAAGATTGCGAGCAGCTCCGAACCCTCCTTCCTCGTGCTGTGCTCCTTCGCTGCCCATCTGATTCCCCGCCGACTTGTCTCGCACTCAATGTTGACGGCGGGGTGGCTGCCGTTGCGGGGTCAGTCGTAGGGATGCAGTTTGGAGCGATCGTGACGTCAGAGGTTCGAGATTCGAGCTTCTATCACCTCTCCCTTCCCGTCAAGAGGTTCTGCCTGGGCTCGTCCTCGTGTCCAGCTGTGACAGTGACGTGGAGGACGCAGCAAGGGAGCGCGAGGAGAGGACGAGAGTTTTTCTCCGGACGAGGTTCTCTGACATGGACGTCAGGAGACCAGCAGACAAAGCTGCTGCAGGTCAACCTCCCCCTGGCCGGGCCCTACGGGGGATCGCTTGCGTATGATGTCATCTTAGAAGGAAGCTCAGGGTCCAGCTGCGGGCGGAGGTGCAAGGGGGAGGCAGACTGTGATGTGGGACTCGCCTGCAAGAGAAGCAAAGACTGGCACGAGCTAGCGCCCGGCCTCCTCTGGGATGAACGTTGCAGTCCTCTGGAGGTCTGTAACTGCAGCAGGAGGACTGGAGACTTCACGTTCCCTCCTTCATGCAGTGATGCTCAGACCCCGAGCAACGGGGACATGGTCCTCCCTCCCTTCAAGTCGTCCAGCTCCATCTCCGTGCAGGGCTGCTGGACTTCGCGGCATCTGCCAACTTCTGCCGCCGACTCATGCGATGTGAGTATCAAGAGCTCCTGCGGAGATAGCGTGCGGCATGTCAACGAGCAGTGCGACGATGGAAACTCCAACAACTTCGACGGATGCTCCTCCACCTGCACAGTCGAGAGCTGGTACGTGTGCCACGGGGGATCCCTGAATCATCAAGATCAGTGCGTCTGGAAGGACTCGAAAGCTAGTCTGGCGTTTGAGTGGATCAATACGCAAGGGCTGCTCAACTCGTTGATTAATTCTGCCTACTTCTCAAGTTACGGGGACAAGGGATGCGTGCTTGACCCCTTCCCTCCCCTCGATCCATTTGACTTCACCTCTCGCTTCTACGTCTCCTCCCGTGACTACTGTGCTGCTGTCGCATATCGACAAGGGTTTGCCGGCTTCTGCATCAGGGTGAGCAGACATCCCAGCTTTTGTCTTCCTTGACTGTGGCCGTGATAGGACGGAGGGATCTGCTATACCCAGCGCGACTTCTATGCTGCCATCTTCTCCTTCAAAGGCTTTGGAAGCTCTTCGAGCTGTCATCAGTCGGAGCTTGGAGGAGGAGGAGGAATGAGTTGCTTCACGTTCTATAGCCCCACCTGCTCCTCCTCCTCCTGCGATCCCCACGCGCAATGCATCCCCGCGCGAGAATGGCAGTACAGGGACCCGACGTGTGAATGCCTCGACGGTTACGTCGGCAACGGCGAATTCTGTCAAATGCCCCAGCAGCAGGTCCAGCAGGAGGGTGGGGGTGTCAAAGAATGTGATGATGCTGGTGCAGGCCACGTGCGATGGGTCAGGGTCGGTATGGGCGGAGGGGACATGCTTCCGGGTGGAGAGATACGAGCTGAGCTTCGAAGACGGTGGGAGAGGATCGAAGAGGAAGGAAGAGGATCGAAGAGAGGAGATGGAAGGGAAGAGAGAAGAGGGCGCAAGGGAATTCGGAGAGAGGAGAGCAAGCTTTGATTCTCGTGCCAGGAGCAGCTCGGTGCAAGTCTTGGTCTGGGGCCCTGGCGTCCATCATGAGCTCGGCGCAGGTGATAGGTCCTTGCTGCTCTGCTCGACCTCACTTGCTTGCAGCAAGCCGCAGTGACGCAGCTGCTGGGAGGGTCAATGACTGTCTGGATCGGCATGACGCTGCAACTTGCGGGGAACAACTCCCGCTACACCTGGCGACAAGACTCTCTTCTGCAGCAGGTGGCTGGACTGCTGCTGAGCTGCCTTGACCAGTTTGTCACTCACCTCAGACCCGAACGTTTCCTGGAACTTTGTTCTCCAACTGGGCAAGCAATGAGGTCCTCCTCCTCCTCCTCCTCCTCCTCCTCCTCCTCCTCCTCCTCCTCCTCCTCCTCCTCCTCCTCCTCCTCCTCCTCCTCCTCCTCCTCCTCCTCCTCCTCCTTCTCTTCACCATAGCTCCACCACCACCACCACCCCAGTCTGAGCTTCGCGCAGCCCCGCATGCTCTCCAATGGATCCTGCGTCATCGCAAACCCAACAGGCACATGGGAAACAATCCTCTGCAACGCAAGCAAATTCGTCCTATGCGCTCGGGGCAACAATGACGTGAACGAGTGTGCACTGGTAAGGGCACGAGGACGAGGACGAGGACGAGGACGAGGAAGAGGAGGGAAGAGGAGGAAGATTGGGAGGGGGGGGGGAGGACGAGGATTCAAACATTCAATTAACGTTGACCAGGGGACGGACGCTTGCGACGTCAAGTCGCTGTGTGTGGATCTGTTGGGATCATATGAGTGTATCTGCAACAGGTAGAGAGCGAGAGGAGAAAAGCGGAGAGACGGGAAGGGGGGGGGGGAGAAAGAGGAGGCAGTTTGAAAGTTAGAGGTACAAGCTGGAGGAGAGAGTGGGAGGGAAGGAGAGGAGGAGCATACATGAGTATGACACCTTGTAGTGGTCTTTCTGGTTTAGGTCGGACGACAAGCATGGAGGCCGCGGATCCTTCAAACCCTCTCGTCAAGTTGAAAGGAAGGTTGTCCTGCACTACCCTCACCATTGCGATATCATCCTCCTTTCCTCCTCTTTCTCATCATCATCTCCATTAGCATCATCAACCTCACAACCATCACCATCGGCATGCTCCAACAACCTTGACAGCTTTGCTTGCTCCTCTTCTCTTTCAGCGTTTCAGGGTGGGAGAAAAAGCTTCCTCGCCTCCTCTACTGGAACCTGCGCCCCGACAGCTGGCTCGACCTGCCGTACGCCATTCATGCCGGAGGAAAGTAACTCGATGCTGCATGCTTTCATGACGAGAGGATGCAGACGAGCTTGTCTTCCTGCAGCTGGACTTGGGCGACATCTTTGCCCTTGGCGTCGTCCAGCTGTGGATGTACTACCCCGATGCGCGTGCGCACATGGGGAAGCGAGTAGAAGTCTCAGTCACCGGCGAGTTCGTCGGGGAGCAGGTAAGATGCTTGACGTGACTGAGGGAGGGAGGGAGGGAGGGAGGAGGGGAGAGAAGGGAGAGGAGGAGGAGGAGAGGAGGAGGAGGAGGTAAGTTGAGGGCAGATGCTCCTCTATCGCTGCGATGACTTCCATGCGTGTGGGCCGGAGAGCTCGCAAGGGCTCACTGTGTCAGCCTACGGCATCTTCGCTCGGCATGTCCGAGTCTACAGCGGGAGGAGGTGAAGGACGCGGGGGAAGAGCTGGGAACTGACGTCAAGTTTACAGCTCGTTGGACGCGACCAGCCGCTTCCTCAAGGTCTCGGTCCTAACGCAGGAAGGCGTCGGGTGCTTCGCCTGCCCCCTCGGCAGCTTCTACGATGAGAGCAGAGGCCCCCTAGCCTGCCAGCCCTGCGGGGGAGGCAACCAGACTTCCTTCACGCTCTCCGACTCTCTTGCTACAGGATGCGGAGCCGTCGGCTCCTGCGAGGACGGCTCCATCTCGTTGCCAGCAAGATGCTATACTGTTCTTCACTCCGACCTGGCGCTGAGCTGGGACGGAGCTCGAGAGCTCTGCCGCAGCTGGGGAGGCTTCCTCCTGCAGAGTGTGGACGCTGGGTCGCTGCATGTGATACGGACGCTGCTGCAGAGGAGCGCGTGGGTGGGGCTGAGAGGAGCAGCGGCAGCTGGGGGGAGGATCGGAGGAGGAGATGCCTCGTGGCTGCATGCTTCTTGGTCCTCCTGCTCCCCGGGCCTCTGCCCTCTGCCCTCTGAGCCCTTTGCCTGCGCCAGGATGGAGCTTGGAGGAGTGCTGCTATCCTCCTCCTGCAGCGGGACTGAGCAGAGTCCCGTGTACGACGCGGCCTGTCAGAAGTTCCTGCCAAGGGACATGGAGCTGCTGGTGTCCTACGGCAACACCTCCCTCAACGTCTCCAGGGCTGCAGCGCCCGGCGCCCTGCTCCTCCTCTGCGGAGGAAACTGCAGCTGCGGAGAGGACGCGTGCGAGTGCCAAGGGAGCGAGAGGATAGAGGGGAGCGTGTCGGCGGTGACGGCACAGACGGTGATGGTGGCGGTGCGGATGAGCTACGAGGAGGGCAGAGACTGCTACGTACTGTCCAACAGCAGCGGCCTGACCCCAACGCTCGCCGTCGTCTCCTCTTTCTCCATCCTTCGCGCCTACCTCGACGTCGCTATCCAAGTCTCCGCGGTCATGCCGACGCACATCCGCCCCGAGAACTTCACCTTGCAGCTGGACGGGCTGGTGGAGGAGGCTACGGCTCTCCTGCTCTTCAACGCCTCCTGCCCTGCGTGCTCGGAGGGAGACGGCGGGGCTCTCTGCTCCTCCTCCTTCTCGCCCCTCCCCCTCTCACCCTCGAACAGCTCGGGGGGCATGGCAGCTCAGGTGTCAACGAGCTTCTCCCGTGAGAGGATCGCCATCCTCCTCAACGTGTCGAGCGTGAGAGGAGGACAAGCGAGCGCGAGTTTGTTGGATGGCTCTTCCTTCCATCAGACGATCTCGCGGGTGCTGCTGGGGGGCAGCAGGGGAGTGCTGTGGCTGCTGGGGTACTTCTGGTACGAGGAGGGGGTGCAGTTCGAAGCTGTGAACTTGTTTGCGGGTCAGCTGGATGTATGCTGAGCCTTCTGGGGATCTAAGGGAAGGGATGATGATGATGATGATGAGGAGGAGGAGGAGGAGGAGGAGGAGGAGGAGGAGGAATAACATAATTATGATTCATCATATCCATCGATGCTCTCGATGCCGTTGAGTTTTGCGCGCTGGAGCTTGAGGAAGGCTTTGAGCTCGTTGATCATGTCCCTTGACTTGAGGAGGAAGGGATGCAGGAGGAGCTGCCGGGTGTTGGGCCGCAGCCGAGGGTTCTTGTTCATGCAGGAGGAGACCAGCTCGCTGAGTTGGTGCCCGAAGTCTTCTGGTCTCGCAGTCTTGGAGAATCGCTCGCACTTGTTCCTCCACTTGGTCTGCCACTCGATGTTGGTCTCGATGTAAGCCTCCTCCTCCCTCTCCTCGCTCTCCGTCTCCTCCATCTTCTTCATGATCATCGCGTAGATGGTCGCCGGCGACTTGCTCAGCGGGTTCGCCGCCTTCACTCGATCTCGCGCGGCTCGTCGCTCTTGCTTGGTGATGACGCGCTTGGTCGCGTGGATGTCCGGGAGGACGACTTCGCTCCTGCCCTCCTGCCCCTGCCGCGGGTCTGCGATGAAGCTCGCGGACCTCTCGGGATGCTCCTCCTTCTTCTGCTTCTCGAGGGAGGAGGTGCGGAGAGGAAGGAGGGGAGTATCAACGATGAGGGACTTGTAGGAGAGCTGAGAGTTGACGTTGAGGAGGGAGAGCGGAAACTCTCCGAGAGCCATCTCGCGAACGAGGAAGCCAAGGGACCAGACGTCTGAGGGGAAGTGACACTCCAGGCCTGCAGGCAGGTCAGATGATGATGATGACGAGGAGGAGCGGGAAGAGGAAGAGGAAGAGGAAGAGGAAGAGGAAGAGGAAGAGGAAGAGGAAGAGCTTGAGTGAGATAAGGACGACGAAAGGGGCTGATTGAGAGAGGAAGGACAGGAAGAGAGAGGAGGAAGAAGGGAAGAGTGGGGGAAAGGAGAAGGTCGAGGAAAGAAGAGACGACAAGGGCGGAGGAGGGGGAAGGACGAGGCAAGGGCCAGCGGGGAGAAGGGAACGGACAAGGGGCTGAGGAGTTGAAGCGAAGAGAGGAGGAGAGGGGGGGCAAAAGGAGGAGGAGGAGGACGAGGACGAGGACGAGGACGAGGACGAGGACGAGGACGAGGAGGACGAGGAGGAGGAGGAGGAGGAGGACGAGGACGAGGAGGAGGAGGACGAGGAGGAGGAGGACGAGGACGAGGAGTACCGAGCATTCTCTCGGGCGCCTGATGGCGGAGGGGCCCCAGGAATCTCCTCGAGCTCTGCTGGTCGTCCCTGAACTCAGAGGCAGGCTCGCAGGAGAGGAAGTGGGAGAAGAAGAAGCCGCCGACCCTGACGATGCCCGAGGCCTTGCAGATGAAGATGTTCCTCGCGTCCAGGTCGTTGTGCACGCACGCGAGCTGATGGTGAAGGCGATCAACAATGGTGACAAGCTGGACGAGGATGGCGCCTATGATGGGTTCCGGGATCGCCCCGGTCTTGCTGATGAGCTCAGCCAGCGTCACCTCCTGCCGCTTCACCTCCATGACCGTCATGACGGCGACTGACGAGCTGTCGGCCTGCAGGAAGGCGTTGCGGACTGGGACGATGCGCTCTGATCCCAAAGCTGCCAGGCGCAGCTGAGCTCGCAGCGCGTTCCTGACCATGTGGCGATGCTCCCAGTGGACGACCTGAGGGGGGAGGAAGGAGGAGATGGCGATCAGTCAGGTCATGTGATTCGAGCAGGAGGGGAGGCAGGAGATGGAAACAAGGAAGAGAGGGGGATAGGGGAAGGAGAAAGGAGATACCTTGAAGCGATGAAGGATGAAGAAGGTGGGGGGAGGGTTCGCGCCATTGCGAGTGACCGACCAGCTCTCTCCCCACACGTACGACCAGCTCTCAGCCATGAGCGACTGATCGAACCCTCGTTGTCCTCTCTCGTATGTCGCCATCGCAAACTTCACCTGCTCTGCCGCCGCGAGGAGCGAGAGCAGTGACTTGGCTTGCTTGGCGGAATGGGCCCGCAGAAAGTTGGAGCAGAAGGGGAAGGCATCGCGAAAGAGAACCGTGTCCTCCTCGTCCTCTGCCATCAGCCCCTCTCTCCCCACCAGTATCGCCGTCCCCGCGATCACCATCACTGTTCCCGCATCCGTCACTCGCAGAGCGCTTGGAAACGCTGCCTGCTCTTGCCCCCAAGGCATGTCTCCTCCCTGCCCCACCGTGATCCCTGCAAGCAGAAAGTCAGCAACGGGAGAGAAGAAGGAGGAGGAGGGCTGGGACCGAGGAGGAGGTAGTTGATGGCGGTGGCTCGTTGCATGATCCTCTCTCGATAGGCCGTCACTCGCTGGAGTCGCTTGCGGGTGAGTATCCCCCTCACCAACGCCTGAACCATCACGATCCGCTTTCTGTCCTGCTCTGAGAACCGGTTCTTCATCCTCAACTGCTGCATGAGGCGGCGGGTCCTGAGGAAGAACATCTTGCCGCGGACCAGCGCTCCTCGCCAGTATCTCTGGATGCTGGTGGCCGACTGATGCTCGAGGTCGGAGTAAGAGAGGAAGACGGAGCGATATGACAGCTGCTCCTCCCCCACGATGACGTTCACCGCCCCCAGCCGCAGTCGCACTCGCTTCCACTTGGTCGTGTAGGTCTTGAAGAAGTTGGCGATGCGCTTTGCGGCGAGAGGAGCGCTCCTCCCGTAGGTGCCCATAAGCTCGCGAACGACCTTCCTCCAGTTCTCGAACTCTCTCAGCTTCTTGATGTTTCGGAAGAACCTCTGGATCCTCCTCGCAGCTTCCTCTTTCTCCTCCTCCTGCTCCTCCTCCTGCTCCTTCCTCTTCTTCTCTGCTGCCTCTTCCCCTTCCTCCTCTTGCTTCTGACCTCCTTGCTGCGGTGAGGCTCCCGAAAAGCTTGCCATGCTCCACAGACTCGCGTGCGACGACTCAATGAAGGAGTTTTGCCGGTCCAACTGCCTCCCGCCTCCTCTCAGCTGCGCCTCGTACTCCTCTTGCGAGCACGCAAACGAGTCGTCCGAGTGCAGGAAGGGACGGGGGTGACCCAAGGGCAACCTGCCGCGGTAGAAGACCCCGCGGCGAAGAAGTTGGAGACTGACGAGGAGGCTCGCGATGCGCGTCTCCTCGCTGCTGTAGAGGACGCGGCCGAGATGGTCCGCTCCTCGTTGCACCAGCGCCTTCCACTCTATCCTCCTCCTTCCTGCCTTGAGCTTTTGAAGGTCCAACGCATTAGAGGGGATGCGACTCATACGATGAATCTGAACGAGGAGCAACAACGTGAGCAGAGCATAAGGAGGAGAGAAGGAGACAAAGAGGTTCATAGCAAGCAGGGGCAGACGGATGGAAGGGAGGGAGGAAGGGAGAAAGGGAGAAGTATGACTCACTCCGATGTAGAGAGGACAATCGCTGACAACTCCATCGAAGGAGAAAAGAACTTTGTAGCTCCCTTGATCGCTGCTGAGGGCAAGAGCAAACACGTCCTCTTCCAGCGCCACAACAAGGAAGAAGCTCCGATGGAGTGCATGCAGACTCTTCCTCAGACCCAGCGCGTTGATCTCGACCCGGACGGTCGTGCTTTCCTGCTCGATCTTGCTCTTCCTCATCGAGCTCGGGAGACAGGGAGCAACAAGCTCGGCCATGCTGATCTGCGGGGAGGAGGAGGAGGAGGAGATGTCTTGTTCTGTCTTGTGCAAGCTTTCTTTTGACGTCTCCCGGGATATCGTAGCCGAAGGCTTAACATGATACCTCGTGTGCTGCTTTGCCTGGTCTTGCTTTGTGTTTCTTCTCCTCCTCTCCTTCCACTGCGTCTCCTCCTCTCCTTTCAGGCTCCTCTGCACCGACTGGAGGGTTGCGAGCTCCTCCCCGGAGGTTCGCAAAGACGCCTGGATCTCGTACACGTTGGCTGAGATAGCGCCGAAAGTTCTCCCATACCGCTCAGTGATAGCGTCCTTGAGCTGCTTGACCGCCTCCTCCACCTCCTCAGTCGTCGTCGTGTGCATCTCCTGCAGTTTGCGGAGCTCTCGAGACACGAGGCTGCTGTGCGCCAGCAGCCTCAGCGTCTCCTCCCGCTGGGTCCGCACGTGCTCCTGCGCTCGCTGTACAGCATCGGCCCGACGCTTTGAGAGAGCTTGAGGAGACAGGCGCGCAGCCAAGAATCGGAGCCTCTTCCCGCTGCCTCCCGGCACTACATTCTTGTCCTCCAGGCTCTCCTTACCCTCTGGCGGGAGGGTGACCTTCTGTTGCATCGGAGAGACGTTCTTGGACTTGAGGAGACCGCAAGTGCACTCGAGGCTGGAGAAGAGAGGATGATGAAACGCTGCTGCCCTCCTCCCCTGATGCTTCAGCTCCACACAGAACTTCCTTGCCAACACGTTGGCAAGGCTGAGCACGCACTCGCGGTAGAGGTCGTAGGGGATCTCCTTCTCCTCAACCGCCTTCCCCCGCGTTCCCTCGAACTTGTACTTCACCTCGATCTTCTGCAGGACCTTCACCACAGAGTACTCGGAGAGGAGCTTGGGAACAACTTGCGCCTGCTGTAAGATGTGCAACAATCTGCGGTAGGAAATCGCGTTCTTCTCCTCCGACCCTTGGGTTTCTACATCACAGTTCTCAAGGAAGAACTCGAGAGAGGAGAACTTCTCTTGAATCTCCTCGGCAATGGCGTAATGGATCTCGAGGTTCGAAGACTCCTGGGACAGAGACGACCTCGCAACTTCCTTCTTGCTTGTCTTTGTCTCCTCTGGGCCAACGTAGCGATCGGGCCTTCTTCCCCCCTCCCATCCTGCGTGCTTCGACTCGGAGGGGGCGTCGGAGTCAGCGTCTTAGTTGCCATTTGAGCTGCAACAGGATCGAAGACAAGTCCAACCCCTCCCATTTTAGTCTTCTCTCTTACTTCCTCAGCTGACCCTCCTCGTTCTTGACCACCCTCTCCGCCCTCCACAACCTCTCCTCCTCCCTCTCCGCCCTCCACAACCTCTCCTCCTCCCTCTCCGCCCTCCACAACCTCTCCTTCTCCCTCTCCCTCACCGTCTGCTGCCCTCTCTGCGTTCTGCTCTACTCCTCGGCCCTCCGATTTCTCTCCTGTACTTTCTGCCTCATGTTCTAAATCTCTCGCTTCCTTCCTATCGCCCTCAGCCTGATCCTCTGTGCCCTCCTCCCCTCTGCCCTCCTCCCCTCTGCCCTCCTCCCCTCTGCCCTCCTCCCCTCTGCCCTCCGCCTCGTCACCAAGTCTTGGGCGCAAGCTCTCGTCCTGCATCGTTTCAGTGCTGTCGCCCTGGGCTGTCTCATCACGTGTGTCCAGCTCTACATTAGCGCACTCAGAGACTGCTGCATCCTCCGCAGGCCCTCTGCTGTCACTTCTGCCTCCTGCCACATGCTTCCGATGCTGTTCACCGGCCTCTTCGTTCGGGGGCTCAACCTGAATTTCCATCATCCTGTTGTCGTTCTCATCTGCATGCTCTCGAGTTTTTTGCTGTTCGTCTTCGAGGACAACTGCCTGAGCCTTGTCAGATCCATCCTCAAGATCTTTCTGATCGTTCATTGTCGTTGCGGCTTATCTTGTTCCATCTGATCTCTATGCACCAGGAGACTGCTTCGCTCTCATGTAGGGTCCTCCTCCTCCGTGCCATCGCTATCTGCTCCGAACGTGAGAGGATCTATCTCGAACGCGTTTTGTTTCCACTCCAGCCTTATCCTTTTTTTCGATTCCTCTCAATTCTCAATCTCGGCAGGCTACCTCTTCGTCATTCACTATCTGCCTAGTCAAGCCTCCTACTCTGCCCCATTTTTTCTCTCTCTCGCACCCTCTCCCTCCCTCCCTCTCTCCCTCCCTCTCCCTCCCTCCCTCTCTCTCCCTCTCTTTTCCCTTCCCTGTCCCTCCCTCCATGTCTCCTACTGTCCTCCCTCCCTCCCAAGCTTCGCCTTCTCCCTCCCCACCTCT